AAGTGTTCAATTCCCACCCTAAACTAAATTAAGTGTCAAATAGGTCTATTTACCGGCTAAATTTGTTCAATTGATCTTTTTTACAGGTTACCAACAGGTTGCCTATTAATTATTAAAATAAATAATTTAAAAAATTAAACAAAAAAATTTTTAAAAAAAAAAAAAAAAGAAAAGAAAGAAAGAGAACAGCCACCGGCTGTCCGGCAAGGACAGCCGGTGGCTGTTCTCTCTTTTTTTTTTAATTTTTTAATTATTTATTTAATTAAATAGGCAACCCGTTGGTAATCTGTAAAAAATGCCAATTGAATGAATTTAGCTGGTAAATAGATTTATTTGACACTTAATTTAATTCATAGTGGGAATTGAGCACTTCTAGTAGTTGATGGGCCTATTTGACACTTGTACCATTTTTATTTTTTTTTGATTCATATATGGCGCTCAAATTATTTAATCAAATGAATGGCTCAGATTGAGTAGATTTTAATTTTTCTTTAATATTTACTAATTTATCCTTAATGAATATGATTTTCCGTTAACTTTTCCGTTAAATATTATCTTTTCTGTTAATTTCCGTTAGTTCACCGTTAACTTACTCATTGATTGCAATAAGAAAGGTCTTAGGTTCAAACCACATCCCAATCGAAGTTGACATAATTAGTACTCTATTTTATTCTTATTAAATTAAATAATAATTTAGTAGCTACAACAAAAAATAATACATATATGCATTTCTTTAATTTAGAATTATGTGTCTACAATGTCTTTATTCAAAAAAAAATATTCATTGTCAATAAATTAAATAAGATAAATAATTTCATTAGTTATATTGTATTTATTTTTCTTCAATATAAAAATTCTTTACATTCAAATTCATCAACTGATTATATTTGCTACATTATCCCTACAATGTCTTTATTAAAAAAAATTATTCATTATCAATAAATTAATTAAGATAAATAATTTTATTAGTTATATTGTCTTTATATTTCTCCAATGTAAAAATTCTTTACATTCAAATTCATCAATTGATTATATTCACTACATTGTCTATTATCTTTTTTGTACACTATTTTTAATTAAATATCAAAGTTATAATACAAAATAATGCTATATATTTATTTACCAAGTATTTTATTAATACCATGAAAAAATTTAAAAATATATATATAATTAATAAAGTCAATCATATTAACTACTTGAGGGATTTGTTGACAAAAAGAGTATTCAAATCACACAACAAATTGAAGTGAGAATTACCTCGCAATGTCCTTGTTTGACAATCAGCAGTTAGCGGATTATATTAGCGAATTTGACCAGTGAATTACATCAACGGTTGGTAAAAAGATATTTGAAAAAATTAGTTGTTTAGATTAACATGTAAAATGACCGAAGGGTATACATGATGATGATGATGACAATAATAATAATAATAACAATAATAATAATAATAATAATAATAATAATAATTGTTTTAGAAAAAAAAAATAAAAATATATAATTAAACCAATCATATTAACTACTTGGGAGATTTATTGACAAAAAGATTATTCAAATCACACAACAAATTGAAGTGGAAAACTATCTCGCAATGTTCTTGTTTGTCAATCAGCAGTTAGCTCTTCAATATTAGTATATATTTAATATTTTATGCCTTAATTTTTATTTTCTTTCCCTTATGTCCCGTATTTGGTTTTAACCATACCTATACAATTATTTTATTGACAATTATAATCAATCTTGACTATATTATCTTGCATTTGTAAATTTAGAATTGCCTATTTAAATACGCAAATTTAACATTCAATTATCTACGCATGAACAACTCCAATATAATTTTGCATTGATATACTTTAAACTACTTATTTTAAAAAAAAAATATTGGGCATTATCCCAATCGCGCAATACGCATAAAAAACTAGTATTTGTTATAAAGTTTGCACATTTGTTACGTTTTCTTAAGAGATATACGAGTTCTTTATAATGCATGACTATCTCAGAACTTTTTTACAATACAAATCTCCCTTGATTGTTAGAAATGATAAACTATTTCCATTGCATAAAATTTGATGAATCCTAAAAATTCAATAAAATTAAAAGGGTCTAAATGATTTAATTCAATGCCACTACTTTGATCACTCCAACTTACCATAATTATTAGACTGAAAATATTGATTGCATTTAGAAATTAGGTATATATGTTCTGTGTATTATTGTAAAGAGTTGATGGAGGGCACAGCTTACAGTAATTGAATGGTTGCACCTGCAACCTGACTACTGGTAAATCTCATATACGGAGTAGGAATTTACAGAAACTGACATGTGTCATATTGTTAGGTGTAAATAGCTGCAAAAATGAATAAATTATCATTTTCCGTCAATGCTACTCCGTATAAATTTTGTTTCCAAATTCTTCCTACTTCGTATTTAACAATTGTATTACACCATTACATATATGATGCGTTTTTGTTTGTTTTTTTTTTTTAAATATTCAAGTTCAAGTAAGGTTACATTAAAAAGTCACTTTGTAGGCAATTGAACAATAAGAAAAGTTAGATTGCAAACAACTTGATAGATATATGGAAATGACCCAATAATAATAGAGACTTGGGGTCCATGATGTATAACACGAGCATTCTGAGAAGACTCTCAAGCCCGGAGCCTGCTTACGGAGCCAGCATGATGGGCCTTGACTTAGTCTCACGGCCCACCACATGGGCTTGGACTTAGTCCTACGGCCCACCGCATGGGCCTTAACTTAGTCTTTTGGCTCATCGTAAAATTAGCGAGTTAGTTAGGGTTATTTTGTATAAATAGACACGTGTTTGTCCTATTAAGGGATCACCATCTATCTTGTCTCAATCTTCTACTGTAATAGTGTTACACTTGTTGTAATCCGCTTATCAATTCACTATATCCATACCTCTATTATCATTTCAATCCGTACTTGTTATATTTATTTATTCATTCGGGTTAAATAATCTGGACCTCCAATTTATTTAATTCCATCACAACTTATGGACCAAAAAACAGTGAGAGTTTAATTAAGAGAGGAAATAATAATAGTATTATATTGTTGTATAATTTAAGGAGAAAAAAAATGACTTTTGACCCTAAAATAAATGAAAATTGTATTAATGAAGTTTTAAAATTTGTAATACATAATTTTAACTTGTTATCATAATATATTATTTTTTAATCTTTATATTTGTTTATAATTTATTTTTTTTGGGTAAATTCAGGATTTTCATCGTCGGACAGTGACTAATCCCATCGTTCTTTTAAGGTTGTTCCACTCCTAAAGTCAATAATCGAATCTTTGACCTTTAGTTAAGGATTGATGTGTCATTTCCATTCAACCACACTTTTCCAGGTTATTTGTTTATAATTTATTATTCAACTTTATTACATGGACAACATACCACTTTAAATTAATAACGTCCTTAAATTAGAAAGAAAGATGGGTAACATTTTTGAAAAATTTTATATGTACTAATATGCTATTGATTGACAATCAGCAGAAATAAGGTATATTACCTTATAAATGTAATTAGGAAAATAATTAACATTAATGTGTAATTTGTAATTATGATAATAATGTAAATGCATGCAAAAATCAATTATATCAAAGAGTTTTTCATTTTTTTCATTACACTGTTTTTTTTTTTGGAGTTACCGTAACTCGAATACAGATTGGAGCTATAAGAATGCTCGAAAGGATTTTTTTGTTGCGTACTAAATTTGAGTACTTTTATTTTTTATTACATACATAACATTTTAATGTAAATAATGAGACACATAATAAAAAAAAGTACTCCCTCTGTCCCATTTTGCATGTCTTACTTTCCTTTTTAGTTTGTCCCAAAATGTTGTCCTCTTTCCAAAATTGAACATCACCATCATTCTACTTTTTCCCAAATTACCCTTATGACTTTTGCTTTTATTTCCAAAAGTGAAAAAGTGAAGGGCATAATTGGAAAATACATAACATTTACTTTAATTCCTTAAAAAGCGTGCAAAAAGCAAATGAGACAACCAATTCGGGACGGAGGGAGTAATTTATTAGTAATATCCGTCATATTAGAAAGTAAAATTTAACGAGTATTCGATTTGCTGAATTATTAGTCCGTAGTCCGTACGTCAACTCGTGAAGAAAGCAAATCCCAAATAAATCTAGCACCGAATGAATGATTGATTGACACCTATCGTTCTTCTCACATCGCCATCATCTTTTATGGCTTTATCAATCAATCTAGCTAGCCGTTGCTGGCCCAGCTTCGAAAGCGACACCTTTGTCAACACTTGTTCTTTCTCTCTCATCCCTATTTGTGCGCATTTTGATGCGGATGTCCATCGCTGCTTCCAATTTTTTGCGTTTTCTTTGTTTGCTTCGATGACTTTGTGGCACTTGGAATAAGGCTACGTATTCATACTCACATGCCCACCACACCAAACTCCAAGTTTCGTCCCTTCACTGCAGCTGTAAGCCAAGTTTTTCCCACTTCCCCACCAACTGTTTGTTCTAATGTCTCTACAAATTATTTTACTGCCCATTCATGCATTATTGTTGTGTATTTACAGTGTATTATAATATTGTGCAAATTAGTAAGTTGCTCATACTGTTAACTTGTTAACTCGTAATTACAATATTAAAAGTTTTATTTATAACTGAAACTATCTAATTGGTCTTCTTAATTTAAGGTAGTCTTATTAAATACTTTTTTGTGGTCTTTATTAACCTTCTTAATTTAAACAAATTAGCTATAAATGATTTAGACTGATTTACTTTCTTGTAATTCTTTAGACAACAAAGTGAAATTGACTAAATACATGCCTCAATTATAAGTTTTTCTCATCAGTAAAAATTACAGTCTTTTTTGCATATACGGTATTACTGTAAAGTGTATAGCACGTTCTGTATTTAATAAATGTAGATGTAGATTGTAGACTACGGATACAGAGTACTGGAGTAGAGAGGTGTGGAGATAGGTGCCCCATGTGAGATGCTTTTACTGAGGCTGACAATGATGATGGACCCGCTTTGCTTTTTTCTCTCTCCTCCATGAATAGTGCTTTCCTTGTTTTCATCTTGTATTGTCGTCAAGACTCTGTTTTGAGGCTCATACAGTCCCCCCCTCCCTTTGTCCTCTCCACGCCACCCGCCAGCGCCATTCTCTCCTCCACCGACACTGTTGCCGCCAACTGGATCCGTTACCGTCATGAGTGTTTATCACTGCCACAGTAGCAGAGGGGGAGCAATGGCTGCCCTTTTTGTCCTGCTTTTACCCATTTTCTTCCCCAGCCTCTTCACTTCGTTGAGCCATGCTTCACCATCTATTCTCACGGTAATCTCTCAGTCCATTTTTTTTTTTTAAATTATACTTTTAATTTTAATTCTTCTTTTGTAAGGGTGTACTTTCAGCATCATGTTAAATGTGTTTATACGCAACCCACATGAATATGTTCCTAAATTTCATTCTTAGTTGTTGTTTTTTCCACCTTCCCGACAAGTGGCTCTCTTAAGATCAAGCACACATGGTTTCTGAAAAAGAGTGGGAATAAAGTGAAGGATTTCAGAGTACTGGCCTAAGTTAGTTTAGAATCTTGTAATCTAGTGGGAGTTATAGTTAATAATCATTATTTTGTCTATATTTGGGCAAAGGTATGATTTTTATTTTTGGAGGTTTTTTTGAGTTCTTTCTCTAATCAGATTTGTAGAAATTGTTTTTTTGTAAGAGTGGCTGGTGGAACAGTGGGATGGTAATATCTGAGTTAGTAGTGTATAATTCTTGGGATTCAATTTGGGGTTTATTCCCGGTATGGCAGTTATAAAACAGAGTTGATTTGCCTATGATGTGTTAAACAGAGATTAAAAGGGGATTTACTAGTCTTTAGTATATTTCTGCAGTATGCATTGTGAAACTGAAGCAGAAACAGGCTTATTTACCCTACGCCTGGCCTGCCGGCATGGGACTGTAGTTTGCTGCTATAAACATAATAGGCTAGTGCTGCTTGAGTGGCAGTAAAGAGTGCTTCCATCAAGTAGGATATGAAAGTTTGCAGATGGGATAAAACAAAACTATGAAGAACTGAGGCAGGAAATAAAATCTGTCATTAGATGGTATCAATTTCCTTGATGCAAAATCTTAAAAATAAGCTGGAAAGGTACAATATTACAATTATAATGAACTGTGCACAAAATGGTGTCTTTTTCTATATTTTTAATGTGAGTAATTTGGGTTTGGACAACTGGAAAAATACAAGGCTCTATTACTGCCTAATTGTTTCAAATTCTGTTTGTTGGGGCTTGCCTTTTGGGGGATTTCCTAAATTCATCAGTAATTTGTTTGTTTGTGCAGGAATGGAATGCTCCAAAAACTAGGCACTCACGCCTTTTCAAGAGTGCTTTGCAACGCCAATCTGTTAGTAAATGTTTCTTAAGTTACTTTTCTTGATGCAGAGAAACTGTTTCTTTCTTATTGTGAGCAATTATTTTCTATGACGGGTTCTTTTTTGCTGTTTAGACCCATGAAGAGCAGTCTGAGTTATGGATGCCTTTGTCTAATCAAGGATGGAATCCCTACACTGAATCCGGTGTTGTCTCCAGTAAGTGATTTCGAATCTGTTAATTGGTCAATTAAATTCACTTATTCAGTGTTCTGTTTAGTTTCAACTATTTGCATTAGGAGCCCAAATTCAATCAACTTGATGTTGTTGTCACTTGTCATGGCTTATATTGTCTTTCTCTAATTTAATTTTCATTCTCACGCAGCATTACCTGGAAAGTCTGAGGGATACATTCAGGTGTTCCTTGATGGAGGATTGAATCAACAGAGAATGGGGGTAGGTATCGTATATGATGTATCTTTATGAGTTCATGAGGATGGAGATGAATGTGGTTTTTGAGTTGGATGACAATTACTACTCAGCTCTATTAATGATTTGCATAATTTGGTTAAACAGATTTGTGATGCAGTTGCTATTGCAAAAATTCTTAATGCCACTCTTGTGATTCCTTATTTGGAGGTAAATCCTGTTTGGCAAGATTCAAGGTACCTATCATTGATCCATTTTTATATTAAATTGATAATATTAGTTCTTGTTTTAAGCTATTAAGTTGTAACAATTCTAAAGTGTAAGACCTAACCTTTTTTATATTTTACTGTTACTATTTTTTGGTGGGGGTCTTGAAGCTCTTTCATGGATATCTTCGATGTGGATCACTTCATCCATGTTTTGAAAGATGATATATCTATAGTAAAGGAGCTGCCCGATGAATTCTCTTGGAGCACAAGGGACTATTATGCCTCAGCTATTCGACCTACCAGAATCAAGACAGCGCCAGTTCATGCTTCTGCAAATTGGTATTCAGAGAATGTGTTGCCAGTCCTTAAGAGGTCAGTTAAGATGATTGATTGGTTACCCAAAGTTCTAAGACTGCATGTCGCTAGTTTATTTTGTAGTTGAGAGCTTTCTGTATCTATGCTTGCACGGGAGTAAATGTTACCCACTTTAATTTTAATAAATAGTGTCAGATATCACATAATTTATTGCTAATAGTTGATTTCAAAATGTTATATTTGAAGAGAGAATGCTTGTATTGCTCATGATATCTATAGAGGTGTGTTACGCCTCTATATATATATACATGAATATGAGAGGCACAGCCACAGGAGAGTGGTTCAGAGGATTTAGTGGCAACAACCCATGACTGTCTATAACACATGAAAGATAGACGATAGAGTTGTTTTTAATGGTGATTTGAAGATCATGCTGCGAGTAATAATTTACTGATCTTTTCACAGGATTAGTTGACTTCTGCTGAGAAAGAAGTTTATTTAATTATCATTTTTAGCTTCTTTTGTGTTTCCTATGTTTTATACTTGAACAGTTGAACCTTGCTTAGATATGTAAAATTTGTGAATGTCACAGTTATGGGATCGCTGCCATTTCACCATTTTCCCACCGCTTGGCATTTGACAACATGCCCCAGGAAATCCAACGTCTACGCTGTAAAGTTAACTTTCAAGCACTAGCTTTTGTGCCTCACATTACAGCTCTTGGAGATGCTCTTGTTCATCGCCTGAGATATCCTCCTAGTAATGTTGATGAGCTTGGTGCTAACTACCTTGGAGAGAAGGATAAAGAGAACAAAGGAGCGGGGAAGTTTGTAGCCATTCACCTACGCTTTGATAAGGTGTGGTCTACTGTAGAGGTTTTCAGAATTCTAGACTAAAATTTCGGTTTACTTGATTATACCATGGTAAACTACCTTGAAGAAGTCATGGCTCTTTTTCCTAAACAAATTTGTTGATTGCTTACTGGTCATGTTATATTTTCTGACTAATATCCTGATAAGAATAAGTAGCATGATCCACTCTTCCTCATTTCATAATTCATATTGCACTTCCCTTTTCACTTGAAGTTTTATTGCCTATATAAATATCATCATGCATATGTTGGAATTCTTAAACGGGTTGTTTCCTTTCAGGACATGGCTGCTCATTCAGCTTGTGATTTTGGTGGAGGTAAGGCTGAGAAGTTATCTCTAGCTAAGTATCGGCAGAGGATTTGGCAGGGAAGGGTCCTAAACTCTCAATTTACTGATGAGGAGTTGAGGAGTCAGGGCCGCTGTCCATTGACCCCAGAAGAAGTTGGATTGTTGCTAGCTGCTTTGGGATTTGACAACAATACTCGATTATATCTTGCCTCCCATAAGGTCTGGAAAAGTACCCCTTCCCTCTTCGTGGCGCTGGATTGTTTGTTTTAACATATGTAGTTCTCTTGGTGTTGTTTAATTGTTGTTGATGTCACATTTTCTAGGTTTATGGTGGGGAAGCCAGGATTTCACCATTAAGAAGTTTGTTTCCATTGATGGAGGACAAGAAGAGCCTTGCCACTTCGGAGGAAAGAGCCCTTATAAAAGGAAAGGCTTCCTTGCTTGCTGCAGTAGATTACTATGTTGGCATGCATAGTGATATTTTCATTTCGGCATCACCCGGAAATATGCATAATGCAATGGTAAGCACTTGATTCAAGAAATGAAAAAAGAAAAGCACTTGATCTATATATCTCTATTTTTCTTTCCTTTATTTGGATTTGGATTATTACGCTTAGATGTTTGATCTTAAACAGATTTGACATCAATAGTCTTATACTAACAAAGACTAAGACTAGGTTTGCATATTGCTGTTCTCACTACATTGTGAAATTTACAGGCGGGACATAGAACTTACTATAATTCAAAGACGATAAGGCCCAACATGCAACTGCTAGGTCAGCTTTTCCTAAACAAAAACCTGGGCTGGCCGGAGTTCAAAGAGGCGGTGGTTGAAGGGCATACAAACCGACAAGGGCAGATCAGACTTCGCAAACCAGGTCAATCTCTATATACGTACCCTGCTCCCAATTGCATGTGCGAGGCTTGAAGTTACTTTCACCAATGGATGTGTGGTTTTGGCCGTATAGATGTTCTATTATTTATTACTCCTTGTTATTCGTGGCCGAAGCATTTTATTTTTGCCGTGTAATAGTCAGAGAATAAAACACCACTCTTAATTCATTTATATAGAAAACATTCATCTGTTACTATAATTTCAGTGTTCAGTGGTGGGAGAGATTGTGTATACTTAGGTTTATTGCTTGATACACAAATATTTCATTAAATAGCTTTTCTAGATTGTCACAATCAAACAAATGATCTTGAATAAACCTAAATCTGCAACATCATTAGATTCACATGCTTAATCATGAAGCACCAATATAATTGGTCGCTGGATCTATAAAGAGTAGCCCAGTGCAAAGCCTATGCTATTCCTGACTGTCTGGATATTGATGATTCTCTTGCTTATCTGGTTTTGCAACAATGGAGCCATTGCTACTATGAGAAATAGCAAGTTCCTTTGCTTCTGCCTGGTATGGGGATGGCTTCGTCCCCTCTTTGATGGGGAGGGTTTGTTTTGAACCCTGAAGAGCAACACCAAGAACTATATTGTCTTCTAAGGCTGGCTTTGATGATGGCTGCGATGATAATGCTTCTCTTCTTCTACTATCTGGCAATGTGGCTGAGGAATTGGCTGAAAGAACACTTTCCCTGCTTAGTTTCTTTAGCAGTTTGTTGACGGAGATGTCTTGTGGATCACCAGAATCAGAACTTGACACAATACCACCAGACTTTTGGTCGGTTTTGGAGATTGCTTTCAGTGTTGCATTACTGTGCTGCTCGGCATCAGATGAAGATTTGTTTGTACCTTTATGGTCTTTTGTGGAATGAGCAACTCCATTCGCGATACCAGGCTTCTTGTCAGATGCTGCTCCATGATGGGCAGGATCAACATATGGAATGTAACCTAAATCTGCATCTGCATCGCTAACTCTCTGCAGTGTGTGGATGGGAGTAGCAAGTCGAGCTTGGTGGTGTCGAATAACTCTGAGTAGATCCAACAATATTGCTTCCTAGTTTTTGTTAGATGGAAAAACATAAATAAACAACTCAAAATTTGACAGGTTTTCCAATGTTCTTGGCCAAAACAATTAAAGCTACCAAATATAGCAGTAAATTTGGCAGGACAGTAGGAATGTGCTCACCTTGACAGAGAGGTACTCTTCTGCGCGTGACGTCTTAACAAAGCAAGATACCAGGATCTGCACATTTCGGGTAAAATATGAAAGCAGGATAAACTTTAAAAGAAAGAACAAAATGTCATATTAACATTTAAACTGACCATCAGGGCCTGGTTTTCAGGGTTAATATTATCCAGAAATACTCTTTTATGCAACTTCTTTTGTTCTATTTGAGGATTCTTTGCCAAAACTTTCCGCATGTCAGCAACAATATTCTGCACAAAGATAGTATCCCAACGTAATATGAGCTGTAAATTCATCTTACTGTCCTTGAGCAACCGTAACTCAGTTCAAATTCTGTTTTAACAAACTTACATTAATCTTACTGAAATCCAGATGACTGATAGCTAGGTGAGTTTTTATACGCCAATGGCTTTTACGGCTAAGATTCCTCACAATATTAACTGTGAACTGGTGGTTTGGAATATAAACAGCTTCACGATCTTCACCTCTTATAATTGTTGGTGACCACCAACCTATGTGCTGCCAAGAATAGTGCATTTTATTTTAAGAACTCACAGGAAAGTGGCACATGGAGAATGATGTTTTATAGAGGCATTATGGACTCCTAACTTAAAGTCATCAGCAAAACGAATTGCTTTATATTTGCTACTTAAACAATATAACATAACTCACATTCTAGAAATTAAAATAGGAGTTGTAGAGTAAATAAGAGTAAATAATCTCTTTTCCATTCTAAAGCTATTTAAATTTGGATGCATAATCAACTAAAGCAGTTGTAATACAAGAATAGTAGATTAGTAGACAAACCTCAACAGCTCCAGAGACCTCACAGCCTTCAATCTTAGTTTTAATCACATCATTCACGACAAATGGCCGAGTTGCATGGATCATTATGCCAGAAAGGAAATTGGTGAGGATCTGGACATGACAAAATAATTGAACCAACATCTTCATTAACAAAGAGAACATAACAAACTAAATATCCACATGCCCCTGTTCTAAGATGAGCTTGATTGAAGCTAATGGCTTAATGCTAGTCAAATACGCAAGAATAAGGTTTAAAACATACCTCACGACCAGCAAGAGTCAGAAAGACTGTCCCAAGCCCTCCAGCAGTTAGCAACTTCTGGGTAGAGAAACCTAGCAACTCCATAAACAATGACACTGCTGCAATCCATACTGCAGAGTATACAGCTGTTCCTGCAAACTGGAATCCCATCTGCAAACAAGAACACATTAGACATACATATTGTGAAAATCTGTAGAGCAGTATATTCATGAAAATAAAGTTGAATACTTGAATGTGCAAGCCTTTCAAGCAGAGAAATCCCCACCCCCCAACCACCACCACCCCACCAGAAAAAATGGTCCAATGTTCAATGGCACAAAACTTAAGCTAGTGATGAAGGTTGCAATAATATCAGATTTTATATTTAGTTTTTTAATACATCTGAATGTAATGATGATTGAACCTGAGACTTCCTACCTAGTGCTACAAACTAATACTGTTAGACTACAAGGTCTTTGGCAAGTTTTACATTTAGTTGATCAATACATATGTATATGAAAGAAATGGATGAAAAGCTCTGGGATGTACATTTCTAGTATCAGTGGGATCAATCGTAGCCATGAAAAACTTTTGCACCTGCTGAATTACACTGCAGTAAATATTCAAGATGCTCAGTCCTCTAAAAAGTGAAAAACTTTATCAGAGGACCAGTAAGTCTAATGATTTAACAAGTTAGGAGCTTTCAACATGAGAACCACTGAATGCTATATCTCTCACCTAGATAAACAATAAGCAAAAGCTAATACTGTCGATAGTGATCTGATAAAATTCAGAAGTCGTTGCTTAACAATTTGGCTAGCTTCTGTTGGAAGCACCATTGGATCCAATGCTCTGTAAGAAGAAAAAACCAGAGAATAAAGTAGCCAAAAGGCAACGCTATTATTTATGTATTTACTTTTTTTGCATGAGACAAGGCAACAATGCAATTGCACTAACTGACCTGCAGAATAGCATTGCTCCAGTCCACAACACCAAAGGTTGAAGGTAAGAAGTCATAAAGCGATATGTGCCACTCTTGCCCCAACTACTGTCACTCTTCTGCAGATATAAGACACACATTGTAATCTAAACTGGGTTATCCAGAAAAGGAGTGGATTTGAAGACAGAGACTTACCTGAAGGAATACATTTCTACTTTGGTGTAGAAGTGGTCCTAGACCCCATATACCAAAAACAATGGTACCAACTGCTGGAATCAACTTAAGAAAAAGACTGCTAATTTGTAAATAATTACAAGGTCTGCATGAAATCATGAATCAAGAAATGCATTTAGTTAAAATAAATTGGGCAATGGCATGAAATGTGTTAATCAAATTCTGTTCTTGCCATAGCAATCCAGACACAATGCACTGTTAAGTTGTAGATAACAAATCAATCAAGGGCTTTTAACAATGAAAGGATGAAATCAAAGCCTATCTAATGTAAGCATAGCCCATGTATGTTGATACAAAAGAAGAATTACCTTGTTAATGTTACAACAGCATTCTTTATACATGGAATGTCAACAGGTTGACTTGGTGTTAATAATGAATTACACCTAAACTGATAGTATCTGTATTGAAGAGCATGTCTTTGAAATTGTAACCTCTTTGGGATATGAATGCTCCAATGACACTGCTTCTGAAAATGTAGGCAACAATTTATCAATTGCATGCAACAAATAAAAAATAAAAATCAGATGTCTTAAAACTTTTTCTCAGTCCAAAGACCATAGAATACAGAATGCTAGAAACAGTTATTAAAACCCAGTTTCTGTGTCAACAAGTCCCCAAGTTTACTATGGATTCTAATCCTTAACTTCAAATGGAATTAGGGGCCCTAAACTGTTCACAGTTACAGTGGAAATAATGTCAATATTACATTACCAGCCACAATACATGCATAAATAATTCTCATAGTCATCAAAGTATAGATTACAATATGGTCATCAATGTTTCATACCTTAAAAAGCAGTCACTAATATTTTGATTTGGTTTTAATGTCATCACCATCCAAATTGTCAATCACAATTATGCTAATTTGAAGCACATGTCAATTAAAATAAACATATTCCTAGGGAGTATAATGCTTTGTAATCGTAGGGAGTATAGCAGTATAGCAGTTGCTTTATGTTGGGAGTAAAGAAGATTATAGATTTATAGTATTCCTAATCTCCATGCTAATCTGAACTTCAGTAAACACTAACTAAGAACCATTTGATTGTGAATAAAATTATTAATACATATGAAAAAATGACCTCATATGAAGACCTTGACAAGGAGTGGATCTGCGGAGGGAGGGGGGTGGGTGGGCAATGGGAGCAGTTGCCCCCCATTATATATATCTGTGTGTATACACATAGTGGGTGCTTTAATAGAAATAGATTATATCTATCTATCTATCTATCTATATATATATATATATATATATATATATATATATATATACACACACACACACATACACACATACATACATACATACATACATACATACAGACATATAGTGGTAGTGGCCACGTTGTTGTCCTTAGAGATCTACTAGTGAATTCACTGCTACACTAATATTATGCAGCATATTTATTACTCTGCTTTTCATTATTTGTTGTTAATTCTGCAAACCGACTATGACAGTACAAAGAGTAGCAACTCGTATTGATACTCTTTGAAGGCTATTACAATCATACAAGTATACATTCTTGCATTATAAATTAACACTACTGATGAACTATCTAATCAATGTAGTCTAGAAATTTCAATTGTGTGTCATCATATTCAAATTAATCTATAAATACTTCAAGTTAATACAATTAAAATAAAAAGTATTTATAAATATCATATTAATAGAGACGATATGCGATTTATTCCAACAATTTTATCCAATTAATCGTGTTTCATATTTTATAAATGAATATAGCATTTGGAAGTTTTTAAAATTTTCGCCCCCGTTTAATAGTATTTCTGGCACCCCTGACCCTGACAGGCTATCACCCTGGCATGAAAAGCATACCACAGCAAGTGGTGACAATTTATTGCTAAAGCACTGCAATTTACTCTTTCCAATCTTACTTTGCAGCAATACAAACTAAGTAAACTGGGCAAAGACACCAACGTATCATGCTAAAACATCAAAAAGCACGATAACAATAATACCTGTACAGAGAATCGGTGATGCCGCCCCCAATTATTGCAAATTCCCAAATCATGGGATAATTTAAAAGAATAAACTGCCTGCATTATCACACTAAAGTAACGGTGCAGTAGAATTTCAACAGCATAAGATGATAGTCTTCCCACCACTCAACGTTCAGTTCCAATTCATGTGAAGAACTAGACCTGCTTCAATTTCACAGGCGTAAAAAAAAATTCCCAAATTTTTAGCTGCATTATTTTAACTTGGGGAAAAAAAAAAAGGCAGTACGTATTTCAAGTTTTCAGCTGATAAGCCTTGAGCTATAAACTTCGATTCTTCTATTCAAATCATGGCGTTAAACTTTGTTAGTTGCTTATGTCGATTGTGGATGAGATATAGACAAAGAATAATGAAGTTAATATTTGAAGGAAAGAAAATGAAGGGGAAGAAGAAGGAAGTACGGACCTTGAGATTTGGGGTATTGTCGAAGGAGAACACAGAGGAGATTGTAGAAGAGGCGATGATGGAGCGAGGCAAATGGCGATCAGTAATTGCGAATTGATTAATTGAACAATAGTTGCTGAGATGCTGGAGCTTGCAGATTTGCAGGGGAGGCGGAAAGTGCAAAAAAGAAAAACATTGAAAACGGAAAATGACTTTTCTATTGGAAAATTCCAAAACGTGTTGGTTAGGTATAATTTTATTTTATTTTATTTTTTAGTTAATTTCATTTTTCATTTTAGATTTATAGGTGATCTTTCTCTCTCTCTTTTTTTTTTTTTTTTTTCTTTCTATTTTTTTTTTTTTTTAGTATTATTGTAGTATGACTATATTTTATCATTTGTCAATAAAATTGGTGAAATATCGTTAAATACAAAGACTTTTCGATCTTTTTTATTCAAATTTAAACGGTTTTGTTGATATAAGGCAACAAAAATGATACGCGTATATATATGAGCAGTCATGCCACAATAATACTATGACCAAATATATATGTTAGCGGCAGTGTGGGAGCTACCTCTCAAAGTGAGGGGGGCTCTTTGTGCGCAGTAAGCAAATGTCTAGCCTCTGTGGTTCATCTTTAGTTGAGTTACTATGATTTACATCCTCACAAATGTTTTGTCGCGTCGGAGTGTGGGGCCCTTAGGGTTGGGGTTCAACCTTTTGGAAGAATGACCAAATATATATATTTTGAAAAAATGACTAAAAGTTGTATTGACATCTATAAATCTATGACAAAAATGTAATTAACCCTTAAAAAAAAAAGTTAGATAGCACTGTCAAAGTATCAATTATCAATTATATATCAAAATAACCATTTGGCGGTAAAAGTTGTCATTAATAAGCTTACTAACCACGTGTACAATAAAATTTTTTTATTTTTTTCACGTATTGACTAGGATGAGGACAACCTTAGCAGCAAGTATACTCCTTACAAATATATTTATCATTTTTTTTTTTTGCCCCACCAGCCCACCTTCAAGTGTAGATATGCCATCAAAAACATTAAAAAGGTTAAGCAAGCACTACAATCTGTCAATCCATAATCAAAATCATTGAAAGGGTCAGACATTACTCTCAAAGTCCACATTTCCGGACAATAAATTGATGACAAGATGTGCACATTTTGTACTGGTGAAGAAGATAAGATGTGTACATAATGTCCATTTTAATCCATATAAAATTTGGTTGCTTGGCGTTCAAGATTATGTTTAGGGCAAGCTTGTGATATAATAAAACCATAATATACGCACATAAATACACAATCATTTTAATCGCCGCAAGTAATTATAAATAAGATAAAAAAACTCAATACTCGAGAGATATTATTAACAAAATTAATATAACAATTAATTTGATGATCACAAACTTTTTTTTTTTTTTTTTTGAAGCTGATGATCACAAAATTTTAAATTAACTCATTTTCATGTTTTAATAAAAATGCGGAAGCCAATAAAAGCTCGGCAAAAACCTAATCTTGTTAATAATTTATATATGGAGAGTAATTTTTTTTTTTTTTATTTGGATTGACTGATTGGGATCCTTGGAGAGCAAGGAAGGTCAGCCATGTCATCAAATTCTTCCATTTTTGTAGTCTTGTTCCAATCCGACGGTTCACCGGTTTCCAATAGTCAATATAATGCAGGTTTTCGATATATTGGCAAATGATTTGACAGATAGTATGATCTCATCCCACGTTCATAACTTCCTTCTTTAAATATTGTATATACGGATTAACGAGTCATTGTTTTTCCTTTTCTTTATTTAATCTCTAAATAAATATTTCAATTCACAAAAAAGTGCAATTGGCAAAAAAGTTAAGTGGATTTGTGCAAAATATTTGTACACGTCTGATGCTGATATATATGAAGACTCCATATCAGTAATTGCAGGGGTGGTTGTGGTCTCCGAGAGAAGAGAGGGACTGGGAATTGGGAATGGAGGTTTGAGGGAGAAAGATAGGGTTTTTAGTCTCCGTTTAGTGTTATAATTACATCGGGTTTGCTTTCTTGTCCCGTGAAAATTTTCGGTTTTCGGTTCACTTCCAGGCGAGAGTTTCATTGTTTCCGGTGGTTTCACCGTCTGAAATTTTCCAGCTTTCTGCTTTGGGTTAGTGAAAGTTAGAGTCTTTGTTGATGACCTGAATGTGGGATTTTCCCAATTTTTCCCCCTTTAACTAATTCATTAATTAACTAATACGGAGTATAATTTATTTTTTTGTCAATGTTTCTCAAATCCTTTCATTGTTACTGATTTGCTTTTTGAATTACTGAATTGAGCTGGTCTGTTGAGGGATTGGAGGTCAATTACTGCAAAAATTTGCCTGAATTGGTGGATGGATGAATGATTTGGTTTTTGAAGTAGCTGTATCGTATCATCTTACTGAAACCCTACTTTTTCCACGATTTTTTGTTGTCTGATAGTTGTTGGTTTCTTTGTTTTGCTCCATTGGAATGTTTTGTTCATGATCATGGAATCCAGTTCTTGGGACTTGAAGAATTTGGATTGTTTTTAAACACGAATTCTATTCATATCTGAAGTAATGGCTGTTTCTCTGTCTGGTTTAACATGGTGGTGGTGGGGTGGAAAAGATAAAGAGCCTGCACCTAGCGGGTCTTCTGTGAATTCTTTGCAAGATAGTTTGAAGTTCCATCCGGTGAGGGGTCCCAATGTGACCTCTCCAACTAGGAAGGTGAAGAGAAAATGGAAGAGTAGGGAAGATAGGAGAAGGATTGATAAGGAGTATGATATGGTGTTGGTGCCATCTGATGGTGCCTGTTTAACTGGATCTGAATCTGATGACTCGGACTGGTCAATTGGGTGGCTAGAACCTCATGCCCCCGGTTTCCAGAGTGATGACGAGGCAGAGGATAGTTTTGGGGTGCTGGTTCCTTGCTATCGCCATGGATGCAAGGCACTTGAGGAGGAGGAAGAGTCAAGTAATCGGTTTTCGAGTGCCATTAAGAGCCTTCCTATTCAGTACTCTACTGGTAGGAGCTGCTTTCATTTGTTGTTATTAGATGCTTTTTTGGGTTAATATGAAAAAGTTACTATATTTTCTATATATACATGCTGCGAAAACATATTTACTAGAAATCGTGTTATACCAAGCTGCAGAAATCACAAAATTTTATGCTACTTGCTGCTATTTATGTCTTGATAGTTGAAACATCTTATGGACTTTTTATTGGTGTAATGTTGAACTGTTCGGCTTGCTTCCTGCATTATATATCTATGATGATGATGTCTAAAATGGTGCATACTCCTTGTATGAGTTGTCCGTACTCCTTGGATAAAAACTCTGGGTCCTTGTATGAGTTACGAGTAAATTGCATGTTGATCTTGTACTATTCCTACTAAATTTATCGTTTCATCTTTATCGTTATTGGTTTTGTTTTTATTTTCATCCTACATGTTACTGCTTTGACCTGCCAAGGTAGTATCGAACTATATTTGTTGGAGAAGGTTTACGCAAGACTGAGCTAGTTTGGAGCTTGGGTGATGTTATCTCATTGAATTACATACTCAATCCTTATAATTTTGGAGGTGTTTGGCAAATAGCTGTTAGCTGGTTGGGTTAGTGGGTTTTACTAGTTGATAACATTAGCTGATTGTAGACAGATGTTTGATAAATTAGCTGTAAGCTGATAGTTGATTACATACAAAATGCCTTTCTCAAAAAACTGATCGAAAAAACTGCTGGTTTTATCCAACTCAAAATTGTGGTTCACATTCGATCAAGATGAACATGTTGTGTGAGAGTTGAGAAGGGACCCCGCTTCTTTTTTCATTACATTGCCAAGAATGCGCTTTTGTCTTGTGTCATCAAATCACTTTGGTTCTTGAAATGTCTCTTGCTTTTGCTGAAAAGCCATTTGATGTTTCCATCATTGATTGTTGAGTTGTTGGTGGATTTAATTGATTCTTGGATCAAATCTTCACCTGTTCCTTCTTCTTCATGATAAATTCGGAACACACTGCCATTGAATCCTCTCAACTAACATATATTTTCCACGCTATGTGCAGATGCCAAGGAATACATGGAGCAGTGGCTTTCCTCCCTAAATAATTTTTGAAGCCGCTGCACGGTTGGTCTCCACACTATTAGGACTTTATTAGATTCGAGTTACAGTGACCTGTCAGATCTGCATCAATGGCAACGGTTTGTGAAGGGACCGACGTCTCATCTGCAGAGGAAGGGATGGAGTGCTTTCGATCTAGTGATGAACATGCCTGAACTTGTATCTCAGGACTGCTTGCAGTATACTTTGATTCTCCCAGATTACCCTGTGTAGATTGGATGAGTGGAAATTGGCAGATGTTGATTCTTTAGTGTGAATACAGCTGCTGTAAATATATGGAAACATGCCTACGCTTGAGACTTGTTACTTGTTTTGTGAATACAACTCTTTCTTCTGATCTCAGGACCAATGAAACAACATTGCTACTATCCTTGTTATGTGTTAAAAAAAAAAAAAAGAACTATGTCCTATACTCCTCTCAAAAAGGATGAATCCTCAACTCCAAGGATTCTTCACATTCCGACTTGACAAAATATTTAGGAGGATGTAAATCGTGACATGGTCAAATGTCAGTGCGTACAAAGAATCTGTCAACTTTGCGTATAATTTTCACACTGTCACTGTCGAGTTTCGAACCTTATTAAACCAGTGAGTTAAGCTTATACGAGTATGTTCTATACTTCTATTACATATGAGTAGAAAAGGTTATACTTTGGTTGTGAATTACTTTCGTCACTAAAAAAAAAGAACAGGAGATTGAAAAATGAATCATGAATAGCTTTTATGACTACTAAAGAATATATGAATTCGATTTAAGCAAACAATCATGGCAAATGAAATAAATTCAGTGTCTAACCAAACACCATCTAAATCAGTTTTTACATAGACTAATTCCATTAATGACATGTAAATATAATTCTTTACACACATAAATTTGAGTTTGAATTTCACATCCTGTTCTTATTTAACATTCAATGTCACTCTTATAGTTAAAATTATTATTTTTTGTTGTAAATACATTTTATAATTGTGGAGCTTCAATAAAATCATAACACGTCTTCTTAGTTTATCTTTAATTACTATTTCACATATTACTTTGTTAAGAAGTTTATCTTTAATTACTGTTACACCTATTATCTTGTTCATGCAATTGTCTATGTAAACTTGTAAATGGATTTTGTCTTATTGATTATAATCTTATGTGAGATCATCTTATGGTGAGAAGTGTAATACATTTTAGTTAAATGTAGTACTTTTTATAAATGTATAAAAAAGTATTATATTTAAAGTAAATGTATTGCAGGTTTCACACAAGATTTACTCTATTGATTATTATCAATGATTAAAAAAACAGATTTTCATAGAATTTGTCCCATTTATTAAAATAAAATTTTCAAATAGTGTTATTTTCATTTGGATATACCTCATTTCTTTATACAATTTTTAAAGAAAGAAAGTTTGACAAAAATTGAAATTATTAAAGGCATAGTTCCCATTAAGGGTAACACACATATTTTGGAGCAAAAATTACTCCACACCATCAGGGGTAGTTAGCCAAAGCTACCTTACTGCAATCACCATTTTCCTTCTCCCAAAAACAAATCTAGCTTTGATATTTTTGTTTTCTTAATTCTCTTGTTTCTTCAACTTCTTTTCTTCCTCTTGTTTTTATATGATGGGGGAAGAATTTCAATACATAATTTCTCGTTTTGTTTAGATTGAAAAAAAAAAAAAACAGAAAAAAAAACAGGAGACTGGGAAGATGTTACAAAGGGCTGCAAGCAATGCCTACTCATGGTGGTGGGCAAGCCACATTAGGACTAAGCAATCCAAATGGCTTGAAGAGAGCCTTCAAGGTACGCTTACACGGTACTTCTTTGTTCCGATCAAATTTTCTTACAGAAAAAATTTTAAAAAATGAACTATAAAATTCACAGAAAATGTAACATTGAAATGAATTTCGAATTCTGTATTTGCATTCAGAATCATTGAGGATGCTTGTGGAAATTGATGGTGTTGTTTGGATTAATGAACAATAAGGATTAAGATTAGGATTGCAATCAGGATTAAGATTAGATGATTATTTTCTTTTTAATTGTTCATTTTATATAAGAATCATGTGAAAATCTTCATGAAACATTGTGTTTTTAGCTGCTTCATCATCATCATCATCATTTACTTTCCCCCTGGTTGGTATACGTGAAAACCGAGGTTTGATGGCAATGCAGATATGGAGGAAAAGGTGTTTCACATGGTGAAGCTCATTCAAGAAGACGGAGACTCGTTTGCCAAAAGAGCAGAGATGTACTACAAGAGACGGCCGGAGCTTATAAACTTCGTGGAAGAATCTTATCGCGCTTTTAGATCGTTGGCGGAGAGGTACGACAAGTTATCCAAGGATTTGCAGAGCGCGAACCATACTCTGGCCACTCTCTGCCCTGAACAATTTCAGATGGAGATGGATGAAGACGACGAGTACGGCTCACCTAAATCCCGCCGGAACTGCCGGCCAGTCCAGCGGCCGGGGACGAACATCCCGAAGGCGCCGGCTAAGAAACTGAAAGTGGTTATAACAACCGCGGCTGTGTCCAACAAACTGCAGCCGAAGAAACCGGAGCCGCCGGAGGTTGTGAAGAAAACTACTCCGAAATCGGGCCTGACGATGAACCAGGCAACCGATGAGATCGATAAGCTGCAGAAGGAGATTCTGAAGCTGCAAACCTCGAAGGAGTTCGTGAAGAATTCGTACCAGAGCGGGCAAGCCAGGTACAAGGGGATGGAGAATCAGATCACGGAAATGCAGCAGAGAGTGGACAGATTGCAGGACGAGTTCGGGGTGACGAAGGCGATCGAAGACGAGGAGGCGCGGACTTTGATGGCGGAAACCGCGCTGAAATCGTGCCGAGAAACCCTAGCGGAGCTGCTGGAGAAGCAGGTGAGAGCCGCGAGAGATGCGAGGGAAGAATACAAGAAGCTTGAAGACGCTCGGAAGAGGATGAATGCTATCAAGATTCCGGATATCTTTAATCAGAAGAAGGAAGCAAATGAAAACAGTAGTGATCTGGTTTACAAGTCAGACAGCTCGAGGAAAGCAGTGAGTGAAGCCATAGAATCATTGCAGGAGAAAATCAAGGAACAGCTTGATGGAAACTCCATTGAATCTCTGACTGTGACTCAACTAGTAGAGAAGATAGACGGGCTTGTGAATAAAGTGGTAGACATGGAAACTTCAGTTTCTACTCAGACAATTCTGATAGACAGATTGAGAGGAGAAGCCATTGATTTCCAGAAAAAGATTAAGAGCTTCGAGGAGGACAACAAGGCAACAACAGTCCCCAATGAAAATCTCACCACCCAAGTAGAGGATATAGAGAAAAGGTGGAATGATATCAAGAATATAAACCAAGATCTTGAAAACCACAACACCACCCTCAGGAATAGCATTGCTGAAGCACGCTGCAATCTTGATCAATTGTCTGATAAACTGAATACTGTGAAATCAGACGAGGAAGACGAAGAGGAGGAGGGTACAGATTCACCACAAAGTGAAGCCGAGTCCCTTTCTGAACTCGATCCAAAGGAAAATATTGAAAAGAAAGCAGAAGATCCTCTGGCTTCAGGCGATCGTTCTTTAACTTCAACCTCCAGTGCCTCCTCTGTAACAGGAGGAGAGCAAGAAGTTAAAACAGAAGCTGAAAAGCAAGATCCCGATGCAGATGCCACTGTTGCTAAAAAGGAAGAGGAAGCTGCTAAGAAAAATTCGTCGCCTGTGACTGTGGATAAAGCAGCATCAGAGAAAATTGAGGAGACAGTGGATAAAGCAGAAGAATCAAAGAAAATTGAGGAGACAGTAGATGAAGCAGAAGAATCAAAGAAAATTGAGGAGACGGAGATGGAGAGGGAGACGAGTACTTCGCCTCAATCTGGAGATAGTGATTCGGAGAAGGAAGCAGAAATAATCTTGGATAAGGAAGATGAGGCAGACTGGCGGGAGGCATTTTTGAACGGGATGGGGGACAAAGATAGAGCTATGCTAAAAGAATATAAAACGGTTCTCAGGACTTATAAAGAGCTGAAGAAGAAGATGGCAGAAATGGAAAAGAAAGGTAGGGACAGCGAGTTTGAATTCACATTGCAGATTACGGACTTGAAAACTGTAATTGCAAAGAGGGATGAAGACATTCATAAATTACGTCAAAAGGTATTTGCTTTATCAGCAGCATCAGGAAATTGTGCTGGCAACAAAGGATCAAAGGAAGTGAAGCCATCAGCAGTACCAGTTCAAACTTTAAAAGCAGCAGAATCAAGAACCCAGTCCTCAAGAATCCAGTCCTCAGAAGATGATGATGATGATGATGATGACTTCAAGATACCCACCTTGAATAAACCTGTGCTCTCCCCCGTAGAAGAAAAGCTCCGGATGGAAATTGATGCAATACTAGACGAAAATTTGGAGTTCTGGCTAAGGTTCAGCTCCTCGTTTCATCAGGTACAGAAATTCAAGACAACAGTCCAGGATTTGCAGCATGAACTATCCAAAGTCAAACAAAAGAAAACAACGCAAGAAAACAGTGTTGAGACACAAGATCTCAGAACAGAGGTCCGCCCAATATTCAAACACCTTAGGGAGATACACACTGAACTTACGGTATGGTTAGAGCAAAGCGTGAAGCTGAAGGATGAAGTTAAGCGCAGGTCGTCATCTCTGTGTCACATCCAGGAGGAAATCACGAAAGCTCTGAAAGAAGGAGTTGAAGGCGAAGAAATCCAATTCAGCAGTCACCAAGCTGCAAAGTTCCAAGGTGAAGTCCTGAACATGAAGCAAGAAAACAACAAAGTCAATGAGGAACTGCAAGCAGGAGTGGATCATGTAACCATACTTCAATTAGATGTGGAGAAGACACTCAAAAGATTGGGTCAGGAGTTTGGGCTTGGTGGAAATAAACCACAGTTGTCACACTCAACAAGTAAATCAAAAATTCCTCTAGGCTCATTCATTTTTGGAAACAAACCCAAGAAACAGAAGAAATCTGTTTTTTCATCCTTTAATCCCAACAAAAAGTACCAGGGCTTGAAAGAACTGTTATAGATCTTTCTTGATCTATTCATTTTTTTTTTTCTTTTTTAACCTTTTAAGTTTTAACCCATTCCTTGTTGAGGTTCTTATACATTATATATTCATGCATAGATGTAAAACCCTTTTTTTTCTTTTCTTTTTTAAATTTCATAATTTTCAACACATTTGGATACTGAAACTACAATATCATCATGTAAGTTGTTCAGTAGTGAAAATAGATGAGTATTTGCATTCCTCATGTTTCATATTAATCTGAGCAAGTAGAACAGTACACTGAAATTTTCGTTACATTGTTGTTCCAATAATATCAAAGAACAGCTTAACCATGAAAAACAGAGGTAAAAAAGAACAACAATTTGATGCTATATAGAAATTGGGTTCTTATATTAGTATACCATCATTCAAGAGTAGCAATACATGTTTAGACATTTCTCATATCTTAACTTAATCAGGACAACCAAACCAACATTAGAACATCTGTGCAAGAAGCAGAAGCAGCCCACTTCCATTATCTGAGGATTAGGTTTCTTCCGGGGTCTCAAATAAGACTTCTGATACTATCTTTGCTCCCCTCCCTTTGGCCATGTAAAGGCCTATATGATGCATCATTTCCTGCAATGCAAAACAACGCATTTAGAAGCACTGAATTTGTAAACGAAAAAAAATAAAATAAAAATTGTTCTGATCCAAAAGTTAAACAAGTTCACTTCTGTAGGCAGTGAAGAATTTAAGGAATGGATGGAGATCGAAATAGAATGAAGGTACCCAATCCGAACTAGGTAGAAAAGGAATCATGGTATCTTTTGAGAATCCTTTCTTTCTTCAAAGTGTCGGGAGAAAACAGTTTGTGACATGATGGCACCTAAATACACTTTAGATTTTAAAAACTACTGAGATGAGGTTTACCTGTGGATGAGGCAACGCCCCTTTGATATTTTTAGCAACATCAACCGGAAGATCATAAGTAGCACAGCCAGGGGAATATACAATCACATCTTCCAGTGGGGAGAGCATCCCACTGTTTCTTGCAGATAAGGTAGAACACACGAAATCAAGAACACAGATGTCTGTACATATTCCTAGAACCAATATCTTGATAAAGAAGTACGTGTCAGAAAAGGTTCACATCAATAGAACAATAATGCAATTAGGGACCCTTTCAGATACACTACAGCAAATACAATACAATACTCACAGCTTTGATCCCGTTGCTCTTCACCCAGTTTACAAATACATTGGAGCCATCTCTCTCAAGAGAACCAAGGAATCCATCAATACAACCCTTACGGCGAAGCGTCACGTTAGGTTGATCCTCCAACCACACCAAATCTGCAAGTCATTTGAAAAATGAAATTCAATTTCAAGCAGTCAAACTAAACTAAACTCATGGGTAGATATAGAGTTTACCAGGAACCAATTCAGATTCAGGAGTTCCAGCTATGCAGTGAGGAGGATATGGGTGCTCAGGAATGTCAGGATGATGAGTGTCAAGAAAAGCAAAAACTGGCCATTTCTTTCTACAGCAGAACATGGTGGCAAACTTCACTGCCTCACCCACCATTCTATCAATTTGTTCATCCTGCTTTTGTGGAGCCTATAGTCAACCAAAAATTCACATTACTCACTATCCATACTTGAAAATGAAAAATAAAATAATTCCAATAAATTAAAAATCATATACTTGATCAGATAATAAATTACCAGGTTGAAAGAGACTAGGCTGTATGTATGTATGTATGTATGCATGCATGTATAATATTGTATATACACAGAAGAATACAAAATTCCAAATATTCTGTTTATTTGGAGTTTTAGACCACCTAAAGCAAGTATTTATAATACAAATTTTGTCATTTTTTTGCCTTCTGCCATCCTCAACGTTTCCGGATCAGGAATTAAAAACTCATATTAACAATCCGACAAACAGATCAGAACAGCGAAAAGAGAGAGATACAGTCCCGCATATATATATATATATATATATATATATATATATATATATATATATATATATATATATATATATATATATATATGTATGAGTATAACGTTTTTAGGTTTACCATGTTTCCAGCGCCGACGGTGCAGAAGCCGTTGACGATGTCAACGAGCACGAGACCAGTCTTGCGGTCGTCGGAGAGTAGCAGAGGCCCCTCCTCCTCATCATCTTCCACCGGAATCTGGCCCCTCAGCCAATCCATCTGCGCCACCTTCGCCGCCATCCCCATCTGCCTTCTAATTTCTCTGGATCTCTGTGCTCTATTGGCGTAGACTATGGAGTATGGTAGTTGCTGACTTGCTGGTTCGTTAATTGGTATTTGGCCGTCAAAACTCAGAACTCAAAATATATACGCTTATTCGGTCCGGTCAACATCCACATACGATTTTTTTTAACACCCCGTCAAAGGGAAAACACTTTAAAATTATACTCAGTATTGTATTATCGCATAACATAATCTTAGTTACGATTAATATTTATTTGAACATAATACGATATTTAGCAACTAACATGATTGGCGTGATGGTTCATCATCTTGTCCCTTAAGCATGAGATTGAGGATTTGATCCCAATTCATAGGCTGGGGTAGCTAAAAAAAAAATACAATAATTAACAACCAAGGAAAAAGAATACAAAGAAATACATGGGTATATTTATAAATTTTTCCTTAAGGTTATCCGTATGCCTACAATAGAAAGGCTTGCAAGATGAGTTAGAATTTATTTATTTTTGGAAAAGGATAAAGAATTGTACGGATGGAGACTAAAATCAGTGAATAGTAAATAATTTCAATTGTAAATTTAGTGATATGACATTTTAAAAATTAGAAAATATTGTAAGGGTAAAGATAGCTTAAAAAAAATGCTTTTATAACTAAAAAATTACACAAAATTACTAATAAATAATTAAATGCGTTGCACAACCCAAGTGTAGGTTGCACAATCCACAACAACGGATTGCACAACTCACACTATTGGGTTGCACAACCATCACATCAGAATGCACATCCATATTATCCCGAATGCTACATATACATACAAATATAGGTGATATTATACAAAAATAAAAAACAAGCGAAAAAATAAAAATATATTGATCACTTTTCATGGACGAACACTCGATCATGATGAAGAAGTTACTGCTCTAATTCGCAACAGGGATGGTCCACGAAAATAAGAAACAAAATTAAGAAAATCTGAAAAAAAAAATAAACAGAAAGACACTACTACCCCTATTTAAAAAATATCAATCCATGTGATTTTATAGAATCAAAACTAGGCTATCCAAAAGAAAAAAAAAAAAAAAAAAAAAAGGCATGAGATTAGTACATAATTCTTGGGACTAGTTTTTATTTGATCTTTTATATATATATATATATATATATATATATATATATATATATATATATATATATATATGTATGTATGTATATAGATTCAGGTGCGGTGGACAGGCCCAAGTGCGGTTAAAACAGAGCCATTGATTCTACTTAAATCAACGTTTAGATTACCAAAATTAAATTAAAAAATGCGGTGGCATTTTGATAATTTTTTGCATCTAGGTAAATTTAAGGTGTTTGTGTTTGGACTTAATGTGCATTAGTTTTGTAGTTAATATGCGTGTGATTTGTGCTTAAGGTGCGTGTGGTTTGTGCTTAAGGTGCGTGAGGGTTGTGCATAAGGTGCGTGAGTTTTGTGCTTAATGTGAGTAGTTGGTAAAACTTAAAGTGCGTGAGGTTTGTGCTTAAGGTGTGTGAGTTAAATAGTTAATACTTAAAGTGCGTCAGTTAATGCTTAATATGCATGATGTTTGTCCTTAATGTGTGTGGGTTTTATGCTTAATGTGCGTGAGTTTGTGCTTAATGTGAGTCATTTTAAAATCTTAAGTGTGTGAATTTTGTGCTTAATGTGTTTTGTTCTGTGCTTAAAGTGCGTGGTTTATATACTTAATGTGAGTGATTTGTATAAGGTGCTTTGTTTGTGTGCTTAAGGTGCGTGATGATTTGTATACTCAAAGTGCGCCATATTAATGTTTAAGGTGCGTCCAACCACACGGGAAGCATCACTCGCACCGGAACCATTCCCTATATATATATATATATATATATATATATATATATATATATATATATATATATTCACACACACACACACAGATTGAGGATTATATGATATTAACCTTTACCCTTAATATATATATATATATATATATATATATATATATATATATATATATATATATATATATATATATATATATATATATATAGTGAAAGGTTCCAGTGCGGTTGAATGCTTCCCGTGCGGTTGTGCGGTTGATTAATGTGCGTGAGTTTTGTACTCAACGTACGTGTGTCTTGTACTTAATGTGCCTGAGATTTGTACTTAATGTGCGTGAGTTTTGTACTTAAGGTGTGTGAGTCTTGTGTCTAAGGTGCGTGAGTTGTGTGCTTAATGTGTGTGAGTGTGTAATGTTTAATGTGGTCCTGTACATATACGGCTTCGTCTTCGTCTTCGTCTTCCCTTCCTACCCTTAATCCTCTCTTCCTCTCTCTCTGTTCTTCACCATATACGTCTTCGTCTTCTCTTCATATTCCCTTAATCCTCTCTTCCCCTCTCTCTGTTCTTCATTATATACGTCTTCGTCTTCTCTTCCTAATAAAACAGTTTTCCTCTTTTCCCTTAGTCCTCTCTTCCCAGCTCTGTTCTTCATCGCTTCCGTTAGCGTGAGGTGTGAGTTTGTGGTCTGAATGTATTTTGTTTATAGCTTCCTGTGCGATTGTGTTAAAACTCACGCACATTAAGCACAATATTCAGGCACATTAAGTACAAAACTCACGTACATTAATATTACACACTCACACACATTAGACTCACACACATTAAGTATAAAACTCACGCACGTGATGCCTTCCCTATATATATATATATATATATATATATATATATATATATATATATATATATATATATATGATATTAACAGATTGAGGATTATATGATATGGATAGTTATGCTGTGCATCCATATGCACCATGCATGGTGCATACGGATGTCAAAACGACGTCGTTTTATTAAAAAACGCGTGTCTCCCCTTTTAAAAAAATTCAGGTTCGATTCCCAGCAATAACATTATATTGTTCATTCATTTTGGAATTTTAGTTCATAGATTATAGAATTATAGTTCAATGATTATGGAATTGTAGTTCATCGATTCTGAAATTTTAGTTTATAAATTATGGAATTTTAGTTCATTCATTCTGGAATTTTTAGTTCATAGATTAGATTATGGAATTATAGTTCATCGATTATGGAATTTTAGTTCATATGTTGTTGCTGGGAATCGAACCTGATTTCTTTTTTTTTTAAGGGGAGACGCACGTTTTATTAAAACGACGTTGTTTTTGCATCCAGCATAATTTGCCCAATGATATTAACCTGATGTAAAATGGGTTTCGACCCGTTTCATTCAATCAGAAATTCAGAATCCATATGAAGTAGGGGTGTGTGGGGCCCGTAACCGTGGAGTTGGTCAGTTGGTACATGAATCCAATATTAAACACCATTATCGCAGATTAGTGCTCATTCCACAAACCATTTTAGCGGCAAAAGCGTCGATAGCCCGACCCGATTTGCGAGAGAAGATGTGTTACGGCGGTCAGCGATTGCCGTCGAGGGACGACTTAACCGCCCCGACCCGGGCTCGAGCAGCCACGGCCGCAGCGAATGAAAACGCTGCAGTTGTGGAGAATCTCCGGGACCGGTTGGCGGAGACGGAGGCTCGTCTTGAGCGTGCCAGGGCTAGGGAAGCGGAGCTCAACCGGAAACTCGAAGAAATGAAGCGCTTCGTCTGCGTCATGGAGATCCTCGAGAATTACCTCAAGCGCCGATACCGAGAACAGCAAGACCAGTACCTTCGTCTCTACTCCTCTCCGGTACCCTCAAGCTAGTTCCAAATCCCAATTTAAATTCTGATAAAATGATCACAAGTATAGAAGAAGAAATAAAACTGTTTTTGTTTTCCTTATCTGCTGTTCCTTTTAAGATTTCATGTTCCGAATCATTCATAAACCATGTTTTCCACTGTCAAAAAAGTCCTATGTAGATAGAATGTGTTTGTGATTTTGATTATCCTCTTGGATAAGTACTGCAGCTTATTGAAATTCATGTGTGTATTTGGTGTAAGAGTTAACTTTGATTCTGCAGCTGAAAAGAGTGAAAGGAACTAAGGAAGCATACTATGATCTTTGGGGAAGGTAGGGCATTGAATTTGCCATTGTCCAGAATTGAAATTTTTTTAAGAGTTTAGAACATAGAACTAATTTTGGTCAATCATGTAACCATATCTAAATTCTTGAGCTTATGTATCAGCATTGATATGTTGAGTTCACTGCTAATGAAGATATGCTCGGAACCTTTAATGCTCTAGAGTTTTGGCTTATAGATATTCAATTTGGGCTTTTAGAGAGAACCATAGCATTGAGCTCAAGAATGCAAATCTTGGTGGTATAATAATGCAAGCTTTCTCAGGGAGTAAGTTGAAAGGGCTCTAGCAGCTATAACTTGAACTAAATATTTTGAAGGCAGTTAATGAAAACTTTGATAGAAGGAAAGTGAATCATCTGCCAGAGCACAATGGACTGACTAAATGCATAATAGAAGTGAATTATTTCAGGCTGTTAAATTGCAATGTTGTAATATGTATTTTCTTTGATTTTGGTGGGGGGCGGAAAGACAAGTATGGAGTTGGAGTTTATTATAGGAGTTTGAGTTCCATTATCCAGTTGTTCTACAGAGTTCAGAGATACGTTTATTGAAATCAATAAATGATTTGCATGAACAAAGTAAAGAACTCTCTGATCATTCTACTTCAATCCCAGGCAGCAGGCAGCAGGCAGCTTGCATACCATGAATGAATTTTTTATGTTGTTGTACAAAAAGGAATGGAGAATAACACTCTGCCTATTTGCTGTGCTTAAAGTTTTTCTTCCAAGCATAACAATTAATTATTCCTAACAAACCAATGGTTGACAGAGAATTATCTAGGTTCAACCTGTAGGTCATGTGCTTAAATGCTTGAATTTTTTTTTTTTTTTAAATGGTAACTGTTGCACCTGCTCTTTAGCATTTCTGCTTGTTGTTCAAAGAGAACATGGTTTATGGTCATTAATAATCCAAACAGGACTGGCTTGTGTTTTTGGTTGGTTGTTATTTGGATGAAATTGATTTGATGCAATTTGGAATTGCAATCAAATAGCATGTGTATACAAGTCAGTTGTCACAGAGAGGAGTCCATCTTTTAGAGCTAATACTTTGAAGTTCGTTCAGTTGCATAGT